ACTTTCTTTTCGTCACTGACACATCTGTAATTGAGCTTCCTTTTGACTTTAGTCCAGCCACTTCATTCTTTTTGGTGCTACTTATAGTTGTTCTCCACTCTTCCCCAGTAATGTGTTGGACCCCTTCTCACCTGAAGGGCTTATCTTCCAGTGTCTTTTCTTTTATCATTTTAACACTTTCCACGTGGTTTTGTTGGCACAGGTACTGGAGTGGTTTGCCGTTTTCTTCTCTGGTGGATCACCTTTTGTCTGAACTCTCCATTGTGCCCTGTCCATCTTGGGTAAACTTGCATGGCATAGCTCATAGTTTCATTGAGATATGCAAACTTCTCCACCACGACAAGGCAGTGATTCAGGAGGGGAGTATATTTCTAGATAGGCTCATCCTGAACTATTTGATGGGTTTTATTATGATAATTTTTATTTTTATGCTATTTTCTTGCTCTTTATTATAAAAAAATTAATTTTTGTGATTTCATGTTGTATTCTGTGACTTCACTTAATTCATTTATTGTTTCCATATATTTGTGATTGAGACAGCTGAATCTTTTAGATACATTGTCATATCACCTGCAAATAACAGTATTTTTAATTCCATATTCCTAATGTTTATTTCTTTAATATTTCTTTCCTGTCTGACTGCATTTGCTAGAATTCCCAATGTTATATTAGAGAAGCTGCATGACATAGTGAATAGAGAATAGGCCTTGGAACCAGAAAAGCGTAGTTTCAAGTCCTGCGTCTGACATAATTGTTTTGTTTTGTTTGACAAGTCATTTAACTTCAGAGTGATTTAGGCAGCTCTCAAGATTAAAAGTTTCAAAGAAAATGTTGACTGCAGTGGTAGAAGGAGTTTTCTCACCAGTCTCTTCCCTGTGCCAGTGAGATCACAAATCCAGTTCCTATCCCTATACTGAGTCAAAAGCAATGTGAGCATCCTTGATTTGTAACTGTTTTTATTGAAGTGCTCCAGTGTTTAAGGCTTTTTCTGTGCTGTTTTAATAGGTTTTTGTGATTTTTCTTTATGTGAATATCCATTAATAATATTTAGCTATAGTTTTCTTTCTTTGCTTTATCTGTCCCTGGTTTGGGTATCATATTGACTTCCTAAAAGGAAGGCAAAGGTATGTTTTTCCTCTATATTTTGTGTAGCCTTAAAGTTATTTTATTATTAAATATTTGGTTAGAATTCACTTCTAAAGCCACCTGAATCAAGATTTTCCTACTTCATGAATTTGTATATGGCTTGTAAAATTTCTCTTTCTGTGATGAGATTGTGAATATTCTCTTTCCTGCTTTATTAATGTGGTATTCTTAAATTTTTATAAATGCTTATTATTTCATTTAAGATTTTAATTTCATTAGTGTATAATTTGGTACAAGAAACAACATGGCAAAGTGTACAGTAGGGGTGTCAAAATTTGTGGCCCGTGGACCCACAAAACTCAAGTGCATCACAAACTAGCTTAAAATGTAATTGGGAAATGTTTTTAAAAATAAAAACATAGTTCAATAAATGTTATTTTGAAAATTTTTAAGTCAATATTTGTGGCCCCCAGGGATTCATTTCTATTTTATTTTGATATCACTAGTGTACAGAATGCTGAATTTGGAATAGGGAAGCCTTGGATTCCCTGTGACACTAGCTATGTTACCATAATAATGGCTAATAACACCCAACATTTGTATAGCACTTTAAAGTTTGCAAAGCATTTTACATATCTTGTTTGATCCTCACAACAACCATCTGGGGATACAAAAGAGGCAAAAGATCAGCCCTGTCCTCAAGGAACTTATGATCTAAGAGGAGGGATAAGAAGCAAATATTTACAAATAATGTACAGGATAAAGAGGAAGTAATCAGCAGAGGGAAGGCCCTGGATTAAGAGGGACTGGCCATGGGGAAAGTAGGATTTTAGGTCAGACTTAAAAGGAACCCAGGAAGTCCAAGAGGTAGAGATGAGGAAGAAGAGTATTCCAGGCATGGGGGACAGCCAGAGAAAATGCTTGAAACTGGGAGGTAGTGTATCTTGTTCATGGAAAAGCCTGCAGGCCAGTGTCACTGGATGGAAGAGGATCAAGGCAGGGCGTAAGGTTGTAAGAAGACCCTGTTATTCAGAGTTACTCTTTGTAGGGAGGTAACATTTTATCTACTTCATCTAAGCCACTTCTCCTCTACAAAAACAAATTAAATCTCATTACTGAGAGGTTGGTGAGTTGCTCAGTGGTAGTCTTTGGGATGATTACCACTATGCCAGGGTCGTGATTGGAGATGCTGCAATGGACTCTTTATACCTGGGTTTCTGCCAGCAGTAGCCAGCAGCTACTGGTAGAACAGAGGTACTAGACACAATTAGGGGAGCCATAATACAAACCAGACATCGTTCTTGTACAGTACTTTAGGAAGCTATTAAATAGGAAATTACTTTGGAGAGAGTCTTTATCTGCTGGTTATAAGATAAAACATTCTGGAGAACATGCCTCCCCTTCATCTTAAATGAAGGAATTCAATGAAGGAAAAGGTAGAAGAGAAAACGTTTTCAGAGTTTTCTAAGGAAGAGTAAATGTCAGCAGAAAAATATGTGACACAAGAGTTTCCCAGCTTGCAGTCAGACCCTTCTTAACAGGTTTCCCTGATTAGCACATTAGTTAATATAGCAGAATAAATTGTTACTTTTGCCCTGTGGCTGTTTCAAAATCTGCAGTCAGAAGCCATTTTATTTCTTCTCATCTCCAAAACAAATTAGCTATTCAGGAGATGGATGAGCCATGGTGGAGTCTGCAGAACAGGACCAGCTGTATCAGGAGAAACATTTCAGCTTAGCTGCTTTGGCTGTTGTCCATCACCTCAGAAAGGCCCTACCAGCAGGCCAGCACACAGTTCACTTCCATGGCCCAGGCAATCCTGTCTGAGATATCGAGTTCAGATTCCTTTTTACTCAGACCAAAGTAAGAGACTTCTTTATACTTTTGTACCTACCCGCAAACCATCTGCCAAAAGGAATTGAGCTAAATCACTGCCAACCATGGTTGGATTTTCACATTAGCCTCCCCTATATATATCCCCTCTATTTGAACTCACAAAACACATACCCTTTCAGCCAGTCTTTTGAGAGACTGAATACATTATTCTTTACACTTAACAGTCAGTCAAACCCTAGCTAGTTTTCTCTTTTTTAAAATTCCAGCTTCTGTTATTTTCTTCTTTAAGTCCTAACTTTGACCTACACAGCAGATTCTTAACCTGTTCCAAGGATAATTGTTTACCAGTGCTTTATAGTAAATGTGTTGGGGGCAAGGCGCCTTGAACCAAAAAACTGCCACCAGCAATGAAATTTTGTTTCCACTCAGTATCCACTTGGCATTTCTTCTTATTCTTCATACTCCGTGCTATCCACCTCAGCCTCTCCCTTTGCTCCCAAAACAAAAGGGATTTCAAAGTAATTTATCCTCATTACCACCTTATACATGTCACCACTGTTGATTACTTTTCAGCTTCCAAAGCTTGGCTTATCGCATGTCCTGTAATTACCATCTCTAAACCACCTCAAATGCATTCTGAGTCCCCCCTGTTCCTCTCCCATTTCATTCCTGGAAGCTAGAACCTTCTCTTCTAGTTATCCCACACCAGGGATGGAGAAACTGCAGCCTTGAGGCTACATGTGGCGTTCTAGTCCTTGGGTGCGGCCTTTTGACTGAGTCCAAGTTTTACAGAACAAATTAAGGGGATTTGTTCTGTGAAGTTTGGATTCAGTCAAAGGTCTACACTTAAGGACCTAGAGGGCCACATGTGGCCTCAAGGCTGTAGGTTCCCCACCCCTGTCCCAGACCCTTTCTTTCTCCCCCTCCTCACACACTCCCCCCACCCCAGTAACTCTCCCCCATAATGCACATTTATCCAAGGATCCATATTAGGTTGCTGTTGCATCTGTGATTCTTGGCATGAGTTCCTCTAGAAATCACATTACTGCTCAGTGAGTTTATGGAAGACTGTAGTAACTGCTAAAAACATAATTGTTTAAAAGCATATTAAAAATAATAATCCATAAACAAAAGCTAGAAAATTCCTAGCAAAGGCAACCTACATTTTTGTATTTATTGAAGTCTTCGAAAAGAGCAAGATGAGTAGAGCTTATGGTTAATATACCATGCCACCTAGCAAAAGATCACAAATTCCACAATTTATTATTGCCTCAGCTTTGTTAGAACTCTCACAGGAAAGGTGCCCAAATACTTTGTGAATGTATATATCTGTTTGTGTTGAATTGCTTCCGTATCTTCATGTATGGCATGTACTTTTGTGGATTTGATATTTTCCCCAGTTCTACCAGTTACTAGTGCAGTATTAACAGTATTAAGCCATTATAGTTAGCTTTTTTCACTAAAGGAGAATTGTAACTATGGTGGGGCAACCAGGTTTCTGAAATTGAGAGGGCACAGACAGAAATTTTAATCCTTCAGCAACGTAGAACATTTGAGCTTAGCATCTAGTTAGTGGAAATTAGACTCTTTTCAAGATGTTGGAGTAAATGGGCATAACAGCCTCGCTTTCTCAAAATTATCATAGAAAAGATGAAAAAAAAAAGGACCAGACCAAAGTGAATGATGGACCATGGCAAAGAGGAAGTAAAAATACTGGTGATGGGTAGGCCTCAGAAATATATTCACTCCTAACAGAGGAATGCCTCCCATCGCTCTAAAGACACCCTCAGCTAGTTTAACTGAAGATGGAATGGTACCATTGTACTTAGCAAAAAGCAGAAGGTAAAATCCCTCATTTTTTCTGAACTCTATAATCATTTCATAATAACCATCAACACAGTTTTTAATAATAATGATGTCTGCTGTCTGTTAAGGACCTAGATTTCCCAAGAGGAAATGGGGAGATCATGATCTCCCAATTTCTCCACCTTGAGCCTTTAAATATATTTATGTTGGTTGACTTGAGTCCAGAACTTATCCTTACTTTATCTGAAAACCTTCTCTCTTTTCCATTGCAGCTTTGCAGTGAATTAGACAAAGGTGAGCGAGACAATGCAGAACTGCAGGAGTTTGCCAACGCCATCCTCCAACAGATAGCTGATCACTGCCCTGACATTCTGGAACAAGTGGTCAATGCACTAGAGGAGTCCTCCTGACCCCACTGAGTGACCTTGTGATCCAGCCCAACAGCCAACCCATTCAGTCCAGGGACCTAAGAAAGGAGCAGTAAGAACAACAGATATCCAGGAACCTCTGGTTTGCCTTGTACCTGTTAAAGCCAACCAGCCACACACCACAAACTACTTCCTATGCCTGTTCTTCCATCCAGAGTCCCACAGTGTTTTTGCATTCATCTTTTTGCCGTGGAGGTGATCTCCTCACTGTTTTGGGGGTTCACAGTGGGTGGCTTCCTCTCCACAGAGACCTGTCATCTAGTTGTCCTCAATGGGTAACTGTTGGAAGCTAACGATACTGGTTCAGCACAGGGACATGAAGCAGTTGCCTTTTCTCTTTTGTCCTTTTAACTTAAAAACAAAACCTACAGCTGCCACTTTGTAGTTCAGCATGTTGGAAAAAGAGGACCTGCAACAGGCCAGAAAATCTAGGGTGTTCTGTGTTTGAATTGATTTCTCTAAAAAGGGTTGTCTCACAGAAAGAGAGAAGTAGGGAAGGGAAGAGAGAGGCAAAGAAGCAGATTAAGAGAACACCAGCTCTTCCATTGAAACCGTAATTCTAGGGAGGAAGGTGCTCAATATTCATTCTTTCTTTTACTTGCCTTTTCTCATTATTGATTTTTGTCTTCAGGCAAGGAAGTAGCCACTTCCCTCTTGCCTCAGTAATGGTTTATTGAACACTGATTTAAAACACTATCACTTTTGGTTCTTTGCCCCCATCCTACCTATCCTGTCCTTCCTTGGCCATCTCCTCTGAAAAGCTAATGAGAGGCTGCTACAGGAAAGTCCGTCACACAGGAGCTCTTTGCCTTTACTGGGCTTAAGGCTGTCAGACAAAACTTTTCTAGTAAATTTTAAAAAAAAAAAGAGTTGGGAGCCTGAGGAGTTCTCACAGTCCAGTCAGGTTTGCCTCTGTAGAAGATAATAAACTGGATCTGTAGGAGTCTGGCTTGTGCCTTCTGAATCCACAAGCATTTCTCCAGGTCACTCCTCTGGGCTCTCGTATCTTGAAGCCAATAGCACAGCTGGTACAGCTTCCCTTTCCAGGCTCCCTCAGCGCATTTTGTTTCTCATGATTCATCGTGAGCATGGGAAGATGAGCTCTGCAGACTTCCCTGGCCTCCTCATGTGTGACTTAATGCCTTCCTATCTTTCATATGGGCTCTCTCCACTCCTCTAGAATGGAAGTTTTTTAGTAAATTCTTTTCAAGAGCCTGCTTTTCTAATTGTAGCAAAAATGATGCATTTAGGGGCTTGGGTCACTTACTGTTTACAGGAAATCTCACTTGGTTATTCAGTATGTTCATTTTTTTTTTAGTTGTCCTAAAAAGGTTATCCTATTTAGGAAAATAGCTTTAAATGCCCATTTAACACATTCGAGCTAATAATCACCCTGGTTTTTACTGTCTGTAAATTACTAATCAGCAATTAGACTCCAAAGTTACAAGAACCCTCAAATTGTTAAGGCTTTTTAAGGACTTTTCCAGAACACAGACAAGGACAGTGATGAATGATCAGACACTGCCACTCAAATATGGACAATTCATGTCAGAACTGTCCCTTTTACCACTTCCTTTGCCAGATATCCACATGTTTTGGTAAAGGCCATTGCCCTAAAACATTTAGGACATGCATTTTCTCCCTCACCCCCAATTACCCAAGGAATTTAGCGCTGTCCATAAAGTCATCATATCCATCAGACTTAACATCTTCCAGCCGCCACTCCCTGACTGTCCCATTAGCTTACATTGTCAGAAATCTAAGAGCCCTCATTCCCTGTTGTAAAATGATACCTTCTCTCTGTGAGATACCAGAATTTTCTTTATCTATGGTCTAAATGAATCCGGCTCATAAACTTCTTACTGATATGTTCCTTGATAGGAAGGCTAGTCTGTTGTGGGGTGGAGTGAGGAGGTGAGACAGTGATTGGGGAGTAATGGCAGTCGTTTGTGACCAATTACCTGAGTTCTTTTTGTTTATCGCACTGCCCATAAATCATCTAAAACTCCACAGCCTTTCCAGGCTTGGGATGGTGGAGCCTTAATTGAGCCACCCGTGTATAGCTGAACTTCTGAAGAACTGTCATGCCCTTGGTGGAGCCAAATGGAGACATCAGATCCAGGGCCATGCTTGAGGATCTGAGCCAATTCTGCCTGTTTCTTGTGATCAGACTCACAAGCGGGTCACCTCAGGCTCTTACCCATCTGGAGTATTAACGAGTGCTCCCCTTCCTTTCCACTTTCACTCCAGCCCTCCCCTTGGATTTCTACCATGAAATCCATCTAATCCTTTTCTGGGGCTTTGGGAGAAGAAAGATCTAAGAACAGACTTGATCTGACTTGGTTTCTTCTGAACCATAGAAGATGAGCTTTTTGATCCTACTTGGATAGAAATCCTGTCTTATCAGACAGTCCTAGGAATTGCCTTCAAGAGGAAGGCATCTTTGGCCAGCAGTTAACACTGATGGTGACTTAACTTTCCTTTGCAGAAGGAAAGTTAATCAGATCACTAACTTTTGTGTATCTTTCTGGGCTTGGCGCATTCGTTCAATCAACACATATTGATTGATTTCCTACTTGTATAAGACATGCTTGGGCATCATCATGCAGGCATTATCAAGCAGTGGCTTTTGTGATTTTGCCAAATTACTCAATTGCTGCTCAGTGTTTTTTGCCTTGATTATCTTTTCACATTTGACAAGGATGTTTGACAGTAACCTTCCCAAACTTCTCCATTTCATTAACCATTCTGTTTGCCCTTTCTCACTTGAAGATCAATTACCCTCAAAAAATATAGTTCCTGGAGCAGTGAAAGAGAGTGGTGGGCTGAATCAACCTAACAATTGTATGGGAGTGTTGATGACTAAAGAAATTGAGAGTGTTTCTCTCTGTGTGTGTCTCTCTGTCTCTCCTCCCATCCCTACGTATCCCTCTGGTGTATTAACATACTGATCTATGAAGAATCTGGACTGAAGTTTGTATACTAATTAAAATGGGTAATTCATTCCAAGTTTGAATGTAATGAAACATATGTGTGAACCCATTTCAGCCCTGACAGCAACCTGGAGGAGTTTTGAGTGATTCTATGCGCTTTCCTGAAAAAGGGCATTAACAACAGTGGTGTAGTGTAGGATATTAAAAGCTGAGACCTTCCTCATAGTTGATGGTACTGCTGGCTAACATTTAAAGTAAAGTTGTCTACGTTATAGGAGAAAGAGGGCTGTAGTAGGAGAAGAAGTCTGGCATTAAACTATGAAGGGAAGGCTAGGCTTGGTCGTCCACCAATGGGAAGCCAAGTGTTTGTCATATCTTTTTCCCAGATAAAAGCCTTGAGTAAATGAGGAAGAAAATAAAGGGCACCATGTGCTAAATCTCAGTGATTCCACTGGGCTAATTCCTCTCTCACTGATGTTCCAGGACTGGTATTTGGTGTTGCTGCTCAAGGGTTCTATATCAAAGAAAAACCCACATAGCTTTTCTAGACTCAGTCTCGTTCTGCCACCTCACCCCATTTCCCGAAAGCTCTTAGCTGCTCCATAGGTTTTACTTTTCTGCTCTAGGAAATTTGGGGGGTTTCCAGAGGATAAAATGCTTCATTTGTCTACTCAGTGGTAAATTACCCCAAGATTGAGGCCTTCAGTCCAGGGTATATATTTGGGCATCTTCAAGGTTTCAACAAAACCTTGTTTCATTAGGAGTCACTATTTCCCCCAGCCATCAAAGCCCAGAGGCTGGAGGAAGTTGGTGTAAAAAGAGAAAGCTATGATTCAGCAGTACTGTTCCCATAAAATCGGCAGGGACCTCCATATAGAGCATGTGGAGGCCATCGTCCGGATGAGATCCATCCTGCTCATCAAGACAGTGGGGAGAAAGCTATCTGACTGAACCATTCAAAGGAAAGCTCTTTTAAAAAAATCTGTGGGGTTTTTCATGTGAATTGAGGGGATATCTAAGCAGGAAACAAAAGTCCCCTTCACTACAGGGAAATCCTTCTGAACAAAATGGTTGCCTCTGCCAACTCTTTCTAAAGCAAAAACTGTTTTCAGACTTTTTAGTGTCAAAACTATAACCAGGAGGCCCCTGACTTTTCTGATGTGTTTGGCAAGTGCTGTGACCCTGTCATTGATATTTCTTCTCCTGACTTTTTTGGGGGGATGAAGAGGTTTAGGGTTTGATTTCTTGGGTTCTTTATCCCCCATCCCTCCTCCTGTTTTGTTGTTTTGTTTCTCTGCTTGTCAATATTGTCTGTGTGGTCCAGAGAACTGGAGCAGTTATAAAACCATGTGTGTCCATTGTTGAAATGTTTTGTTTTGTTTTTTAATGAGAGAGAAAAAAATAGTTAGTGGAACTGAAAAATAAAGAGCTGTGTTTTATAAAAAAAAATAATAATAAAATGCAAACCAATATTGTTTTAATAAAGGAATTCAAGCTAGGGACAGCCAAACTCCTCCCCCTCCTCCCAGGCTTGCTGAGGAAAAATTATGGGCCTGCATCTGGATGTTTTGCCTTTTTCTACAAGAGTTAGAAGAAAATGTAAGCTGGATCTTTTGAGTAAATGTTTCTGAGTCCACGCCCCCAGTGCCTAGCACCATGTAGCATCAGGGGCTGATCTCTTTGACGCTTTGTCTAAGTTCATTAGCTATGGTGCTAGGGTGAGTGGTTGGCGGCCCCCCTTCTGGCAACAGCCACAGTACAGGCCACACAACCTCTTTCCTCTCCCCTTGGTGCTATTTCATCCAGTTAACCTCTCACTTTTCAGGCTAGCCTGAAGCCTACATGCCAGGTGAGACAAATTACACTCAGTTCTCAACTCCTTCAACTTTCAGTCCCCTAATTCTTGCTCTTGAACTTTTTAACCTCTTAAGTTTTCTGGGCCAGAAAATCTCCAGCCAATGAAAATGCTTTTGGAAAAGGAGATGAATTAGACCAAAGCCAGAGGACTCACTCCTGGGCCTGAGCAAGGCTTCTGGACCCAGCTCACTACACCATACCGCACCAGTATTTCATTTGCTCTAATACACAATCCTTTATGACCTGCCTGCCCCACTGCAAGAACAGCCCAATAGACATCCAAACAAGTCAGCACGTCCAAGGTAGGAACATCAGGTACAGCCTGGGACTCTCTCCTTTGCTTGTTTCAGAAGAGAGGTGTTGCACTTTAGTGGAGGAGGAGAGGAGTATATAGGGTACCATCTCCCTTATAGCTTGAGTTCCTTTTTGGTAACAGAGGCAGCTGGAGATGCTGGTGTTACCAAACCTGCCCACTGCCTTCAACTGTATGTGTGTGTGTGTGTGTGTTGTGTGTGTTATTGCTGGAGTTGTGTAACTGACAGGATAATGATAATGCAAAGAAATTGTGTTATATTCAACTTTGCCTTGATAATTATTATAAACACTTTGTTCAGTTTTCTTTTTTTATTCACAAACTTAATTCATCAGGAAACTATAAAGTTATTTAAAAATTCTACACTGTCTCTTTTTTGTCTTGCCTATTATCAAGAGTTCTGGGCCAAAGGGCATTGAGGCCTGCTTGAAAGAAAGACTTTGCAGGGTCACTCTCAGGTGACAACTTCAAATGAATGAGCACAATTAGAAGGTGGAAGAGAAGTTGCACAGTCAGTCAACTGGCATAGCTGTTGTTGACACAGTGATAAGGGTTAAGACTCAATTCAAACCTTGAGCTATCTTTAGGACAATAGTCTTCAGTCCAAATGCACCTAGATCTAGAAGAAATAAAATAGAGCATAAGAGCATTGTTCTACATTGTTGGGCCCCTTTGATCTTTCAGAAAACTTAAAAACAGTTATAACCAAAAAGTAAAGATAGAATTTATTTCTGCTTGAATGACTCTATAACAGCCATCTAAATCGGGTGTGACTGGGAAACTCCATCAGGTAATATGAAAAAAGTGAAAAAAAAATCCCTTTGTGTCAAAGTACAGACATTTTTGTGTTGCTACACACTCAGCAGGATGAATTTCTACCTCCCTCACTGTGTTAGTACATTTTCCTGGGCCCTAAACCCGGGATTCATAATTTTAGTGAGACATGTTGGTTATACTGTTTCCCTTTAGCCTTTATTATATTACTTTCAAATAGGTTCTTTCCTATCTGTGGTCTCAGCTAAAAGGTGAGAAGTATTCTGAAGCACTTACTTTGGAATGTTTGCATGAAATCAGCCAATATGGATTATGAGAACCATGAATAAAAATGCCCTAGGAGGGGTGGTTTTGATGATTGCTATGAACTTGGAAATGATTGGAATTTCCAGCTTTGATGATTACTACTGGCTAGTCCTCAATGAAAACTGAGTTTGGAAATTTTTTTTCTTTCTTTTTTTAAAGATTTCTGTCCTAAATATTTTAGTTTTTTCCAGGAAAGATGAGTAGTGTTGGAAAGGAGAGATGAGGAAAAATACTTCAACCCCTACTGTGTCGCAGTTTTTGCCTCCATATCTCAAAAGCCTTCATACGTTGTTTTCTGCCTTTTCCCCTTTGGAAGTTATATAGTCAAACTAGTGTATTGTTTTTCTTAATGGAGGAATTACTTCTATAATAGTTCCTAATCTCCATTTCTGCCACATTTTCTCCAGCTAGACCCCTAAGCTTTCTGGGGTGTATTTGTAACTTTGTCATTGACTTACATAACTTTAGTAAAAGTTATGAGCCTTGGTTTCCACATTAGGTAAAGTGGGGAAATAATGCTGGCTTAATTTATGAGGTTTTTGAGAAAATAAAGTGAGATAATCTAGGCAAAATTACTTTTAAAAGTATAAACATTAGACTGGGAATCCTGGGGAAAGGTGGAGTTTGAGTTTTCTTAGGGACATCTCTATTCTTCACACAGACTCATGGAATTCTGGAGTTGGAAAGGACCTCACCAGCCATATAGTCCAATCTATACACAAAGGAATCCCCATTATGACACATCTGACCAGGTTGTCCAGCCTCTACTTGGAGAACTACAAGGAGGTAGAAACCCACCAGTTGGTCAATAAACATTCATTAAATGCCTGCTGTGTGCCAGGCAAAAGACAATCCCTGTCCTATTCGCAAAATCTGATGGAGAAGACATGCAAATATGTAAAAAAACAAGCTATGGATAGGTTAAATAGGAAATAGTCAAGAGCAAAGACACTAAAATTAAGAGGAGTTGGGAAAGGCATGCTGTGGAAGGTGGGATGAGGCAGCCTGTTCCATTTTTGGGCAGCTCATTGTTAAGATGTTTTTACTGACAGCAAGTCCAAGTCCATATGACATATCTTCTATTATTGGACATAGCTATCATGTCACCCCCACCTGTCCCCATCTTCTTTTCTCCAGGGTGAGCATGCCTATTTCCTCTAATCAGTATTTATTTGTCATGAAACTCAATGCCCTTCACCATCTTTATTGTCCTCTGGAAACTCGATGTCCTTAAAGAATGGTGCCTAGAACAGAACAATATGATACCCATGAGGTCTGACAAGGGCAAAGGACAGTGGGACTGCAACCTCCCTATTTCTGAAAGCTATGCCTCTGCTAATGCAGCCCAAGATTACGTTTTCATGTTTAGCTGCCAAATCACACTGACCACACATTGAGCTTACGGTCCATTTATATCCCGGGATCTTTTTTAGAGCTGCTGTCTATCCATGCCTCCCCCACCCTCTATTTGGGAAACTGATTTTTTTTTTTGGTACCCAAGTACAAGACTTATATTTGTCCCTATTGAATTTTATCTTCTTAGATTAAAATTTTTAAAATTCCAAAATACAGAAAAATACAAGAATGACAAGAAAATAGGTGAAAAGAACCTACTATCAATCTATTGGAAAATAACTGAAGACTAATTCACCAATTGATTAGTTTAGGTGTTTCCACTGCCTCTTGCTTTCCCCTGCTCCAACAGGTCCAGGGACTGTCACAGGTGGCCACGACTGGTGAAATTTTAGGTACATGATATATAACGTGTAGATGTATACATAACAGGAAGAAAAAAAATAAGTGAAAATTGTGGGGCAGCTAGGTGGCGCAGTGGATAGAGTCCTGGCCCTGGAGTCAGGAGGACTTGAGTTCAAATATGGCCTCAGACACATAACATTCAAGCTGTGTGATTCTGGGCAAGTCACTTAACCCCAATTGCCCTTGCCAAAAAAAAAAAAAAAGTATAAGTTGAAGTGAATGTGAAGGCTTATAGGAATCACTCAGCTCTCCTGATGAACTCTCTCAGAATCCCTCTTGACTATTCCCCTAACACCACCTTAAGGACTGAAGAAAATTAGTTACTGAGAAGTAGGATGGTGGAATCCATAAGAATAGGGCTGGTAGTAAAAAGGACCATTTAAAGGAACCAATTAGAGTCCCCCTGAAGCAGTGTCACGACTGTTCGCCTTCACTTGATAAGGGAAAGGTTCCTAACCTGAGGTCCATAAATGTGTGTGTATGTAAAACTGTATTTCAATAAAATTAGTTTCCCTTGTAATTCCCATGCATTTTATTTTATGCATTTAAAAAACATTCTCAGAGGAGGTCCATAAGCTTCACCAAACCACCGAAGGGTCCAGCATTAGAGCAGAGAGAGAGAGTGGGGGTGGGGGGAGGTGTTAACCTATTTAAGAGAAATATTTCATCCAATAATGGGAGTCCAAGAAACCAAAGCCAGGCACCAAAGAATAGGGGGGAAAGATAACAGTGGCTAGGTCTTCTAATGGAAAAAGATTAGTGGTAAGCTCATTACAGCAAGGACAAATATAGGAAAAACATCAGGTTATTTGATTAAGACAGAAAAAAGATGAGTAGGGAAGAAAAATCATTCAAAAAATTCATCTAAGGAAACTGGGTCAAAAACCACTTAAAGAAAGGGAGGCCATCAAAGATTCTAAAAAGAGCCTGGGCTCTGGATTCAGAGGACTCTCACATCTGCACTACTGGTGTGATTTTGACAAGTCACTTAGCTGTCTTGGGCCTCAGTTTCTTCATTTCTAAAATGGAAGTTTTTGACTTGATAGCCTCAGATCCATCTAGATCTATGATCCAATGAAACAGCAATGCTGGAACTCCAAGAATCTTAAAAATAATTCAGAAAAACGATTGAAAAATTATCTGGAAAAAAAATCAAACAGGGGTCAGCTAGGTGGCACAGTGGAGAGCACCGGCCCTGAAGTCAGGAGGACCTGAGTTCAAATACGACCTCAGACCAAATACTTGATACTTACTAGCTGTGTGACCCTGGGCAAGTCACTTAACCACAATGGCCTAAAAGTAAAAAAAAAAAATCATACAACAGTATCTCCGGACTCTACCTTTTCCCTAGCTGCCTTCTCACACTGCAGATGTCTCCACTCTGTGGCCCTCTCTTCTGATTGGTTAGACCCTGCCCCAGACCACCATTTCAATAGGTAACCAACCCATGCTGACTTCAGCTCCAGCTCCGCTACTAAATTCTACAGCTTCCCTTCAATATAATCTTCCCCCATTAGAGTGTGATCTCCTTTAGGATAGGGACTAGGGGTGTACTGGAGCCAACTTGAACCAGCTCTTGAGAACTGATTGTTAAATGTTTGGTGTGTTCATTTACACCGCAGAAATCAGCAAATGCTACAGATCAGGTTGTGATTTGTTGTCTAGATTTAAGGTGATGGAGAAAATATTCATTGTTCAGTTGTTTCAGACTCTTATGACCCCATTTTGGGGTTTTCTTGGCAAACATACTGGAGTGGTTTGCCATTTCCTTCTCCAGCTCATTTTATAGATGAGAAAACTAAGGCAAACAGGGTTAATCCCAGGGTCACACAGCTAATAAGTGCTGAAGCTGGATTTGAACTCAGGTCTTCCTGATTCCAGACCCAGAACTCTATTCATTGTGCCACCTACCTGCCCTTGAAAATGTAATAATGCAGATTAAATTTAAGTATGTCACAAATACATTTTTGGAGAGCCAGTTGTTAAAACATTTATCAGCACACCACTTATACGGACTTTTTTTTGCTTTTATTTGTATCCCCAGTGTTGAGAACATTATAAACATTTAATAAATGCCCTATCTAAAGACAAATTAAATTCTTAAGAAGGAAATCAAGTCTGGCTAGAGACCATTTAATTTAGAACAAAATATGAGTCCCTCTCCATAATAGTGTATTATCTCTAAAATAAATGGAATACAAAAATATGTAGATAGATGAAAAATAATGGAAGAAAAAACAAGGTTGGAAAACACGTAAAGCAAGAATATTGAACTTGAAGACTGAGTGCGAAGAGATAATCCAAAGAGTATAGATCTTCAAGAAAATAATGAAAAAGAAAACCTGAATATCATATTACATGGTAATATACATACACTTTTCATCATGACTCCTTTGGAATTGTCTTGGATCATAGTATTGCTGAGAATGGCTGTCATTCAAAATCCTTCATCGTACAATATTGCTGTTACTGTGCACAATGTTCTGGTTCTGTTCACTTCACTTTGTATCAGTTTATGTAAGTCT